TCTGTACTTATAAGATGTTCTGTACTTATAAGATTGAAAAAAAGGTGCTTAAGAGTCCACTGAAAGATAATCTTTTCTGTCAATTATATAACACTCCAAAGAATTCATTTCTCTATAACTGAACAATGATTTTACTGTTGAGACTCCCATTTGATGAACTATTTAGAAATTCAGATTGTACAAACTATTTATAAGCTTATTTTTCCATGTTCTCCTATTGTTAAATAACCTAGCTTAAATGTTAGTGTTTTAATTGTATAACAGGTTATGAAGATATATAAAGTCTAGTTTTGTTCACTACAAAAGAAATGTATATTGTGGTCTTTATCTATACTGTCTTCCTTCCCACTGCCTGTTCTTGTTTTCAGTCTTTACTCATCACTGAAAATGGCCTATTTTCCACCAGCCTCACTTGAAGTCAACAGCATCATTCCTGATGTTCAAGGAACATCAGGCTTTATACTGCCTGAAATATGGGATATCTACCAGGCTTCTGGAGCACAGTGTTTTACAGTAATAAGAAAGCTGCGTAATTGGCTGAAAAAACACCTCCAGAGGTTACTCACAAATGGCTCTACATCGTCTTGGAAAATAGTACTCAGCTGAATGCCACAGAGATTGGCCATAATATCCTGGCTCCTGTGCTGTTTAACCTTTTTGTAAGTGACCTGCATGAAGAGGCTGAGGGAATGTTTATCAAATCTGCAGATGTCAAAAAACTAGGAGGAATGGGACAAGCTCTTCAGAAAAGAATGAGAAGATTCAACAAGCTCTAGACAGGCTTGAACAGTGGGCTGTAACAAACAGGGTGAAATTTGATGGGAGAAATGTGAAGCCCTACATTTGGGAGGTGGGGAGAAGGAAAGCCATATATATAGGATGGGGGAAGGAAGACACCAGGCTGGGCTGTGGTATGTGAGAAAAGAATGTGGTTGTTCTGGCATAGGGTTCCTCAAACTGGGTTCCTCAAGGACTGGAATGGATTCCTCAGAATTATGGGGGCCAAAAAAACTAACTGCAAGTGGGGGGGGGACCTGGACCTTGCAGAGAGGTTTTTTCCCCTCCCTTAGTCCCTTGTGAAGAGGGATTTTTTTTCCACTTAGATACTAAGGTACAATGGAAAGGGCAGAGCTTGAGAGCTGATGTTCAAAAGCTCCACCCCTCTTGATCAGGGGATCTGGGAATTTTTTTTTAAATGAACATTTCCTGGCCTGAAAAGGTTTCAACCTCCTGTTCCAGAAGATGACAAGTTAAACATGAGCCAACAGTACAATGCAGCTGTTAAGCAGGCAAATGCAATTTTGGCATGTATTAACAGGGACATAGACCAGAAATTATCATTCCATTCAATTTCGTCTTGGTCAGGCCCATAGGAATTTGTGTCCAGTTTTGGGTACTGCAGTCTAAAAAGGGCACCAATAAACTGGAGTGAGTTCAGAGGGGGGATGCCAAGATGGTGAGAGGACCAGGGCCAAGTTGTTTGAGGAACAATTAAAGAAATAGGTATGTTTAGCTTTCACTGAAAAAAGCTATCTATTTGGTCGCTAGGACTTTGAAACAACTTGATAGCACATCATCAATGTTTAGCTTGCAGAAGGAGAGATTGAGGGAATATATGCTAATAATCTTCAGATATCTAAAGGGTTGTCATAGGAGAGAGTGGACTTGTTCTCTGTTGCTCTGGAGGGCAGGAACAGAATAAACAAATTGAAACTGTAAAGAAATAGAGTCAGATTAAATATTAGGAGAAATGTCCTAATGGTAAGAGCTGTCAACCAGAGGAACAGATTGGCTCATGAAATGGTATATTCACTGGAGAGCCATAAACAGAGGCTGGATAATCATCTGCCCAAAATGCTTTAGCAGATCCTGCACTGGGCAGAGGGTTGAACCAGATGATCTCTGAAATCTTTTCCAACTCTGTGATTCTATGAAATAGTTGAAAAGAACCACATGTACTACACCAGATATATGTAACAAAACATTTTAAACTAAACATAGCAGAGGCAGTAAAATTATATATTTAGAAAAGGAAAGTGGAGATTCTGGAGTTCAGATATTGCTGAATTAGAATCCCCAATCTTTATCAGTGACCGCACTGGCTAAAAAAAATCTGGGAATACTAGTTTAACAATGTCTGAAGAATTACAGGTTCTCCATGCCTGAATCAGAATATTGAAATATATACCTAGATGGGTATATTATGTTGTATAGACCTAAGAAGCAAATCCAAGTTAGCAGCTTATAGGATCTGTGAAGCCTAACTGATTCACTGGGTCACAAGATCTTCCTGAGCTGGTAATTACAGTACTAGTCTGTGGCATTGGTGGCCCTATCAGTACAGTACAGTGAATAGCTAGCACATCACCTGTCCATCAACCTTCCCCACACAGGTTGTGGATAAGTGTAGTCATCCAACATATTTGTGGGGAGTCACTGAAATAGACAGCCCTGCTATTAGAATTACAAGTCTGAGATCACCTGACCTCCAACAAAACTACAGTCATTTCTCCAGCTGGATGAATTCTGCCATATTTATAGATTTTTATAAATGAAGCATTCCTCTCTTCAACTAATTAGGCCTCATCTTCTGTTGAAACTTCATGAAGTTAGACAACCAAACTGTACCTATTCTTAGGTGTTTCTGATACAACACAATATCACTTATTCCAGGTGGTAACCAGCCTGCCCCTTTTCCACTACATGTGTGCCCACACTTTCCAAACTGTTAGTCTTCTTTGAGTCAATGTCCCCTCTACTTATTCAGTGGACATGTCCATACAATTTTCTTGGCAACAGTTTGGAAGGGTTTTCCATTGCCTTTTTCTGGGATTTCCTGCAGGGATCCCCTGAAAGTCTCTCATCCAAGAACTAGACAGCTGCTTAGCTTCTGAGCTCAGACAGGTCAGCCAGGTGCTGCCACCTGCTGAGACATATGTATACTGAAGTTCTTATAAATAAATCCAAATTTGTTCACTGGAGCTCATTCCCAGGTAAGAGGATACAGCAACCTTCTTGAACCTAACAGTCTCCAGCAATTTAGATTACAATTCTCATCATCTCCAACCACAAAGGACAGATATAGTCAAAAACCTTTGGAGAACATCAGATTGAAAAAAAAATGTGTTGTACAATAATTCAACTCTAATTACTACTTCAACTCTCACCCTAGGGAAAGTTCCTCTAACTGCAAAGTTATTTGGGTGATACCCTCATTTTCCTATCCAAGTAAAGTTAACTTCAGTTGGCTGGGCCTGCTGATGTCTGGTAGAGGTAAGGGAATCACTGTTAGTCATTGCAAAAAAGAAAATGCTATCTTTCCTGTTGTCCTGAATCAATGATTACTGAGCCATGGAACCTGGGGCATGGTGGCTATTATTCATTCATGCAGTCTGAAGAAGGCACACACAGTAAAACTTCCTTCTTAGCTCCCTGGGCAAAATCTATTAGGATCATGCCCCCTCCCCCTAAAACAGAACCAAGCGGAGGAATGCTGGACAACCAGATTTTATCCCAAGGATGTCATCACATCCCAGACCAAGAGCATAGAGGGGGCCAAGACAAAGAACTCAACACCAGAAATAAACATCCATAGTCCCCACCAGCTTTCTTAAGTAACTAGAAAGCAACTTCCCCCACACTCTCTAAATCCAAATTACTGGAGGCATTTGTTTTTGCACATATTTAAAAGCCTGTATAAATGAGAAAAGAAAAATGTACTGTATATTTTAAAATTCTAGAGATGTTTAGCACTTTGGACTACAGGACAGTTCTCCAAAGTTTGGAAAAGTATGAGATTTCTTCCTACTAATTTGAGAACTTGGAAAATTACTCAAGAGGTGAAGTCCCTGCCAGTGAGCAATGGTTATGTGGGGGTGAGCTATTATGTAACTGCAGCAAGGATATCCACCATGGCAAGCTCTGTGAAAGCTGGACTTCATCACCGATTACTCATATTTTGGGTCAAATTCAAGATAAAGCCAGTTCAAAAGTTAAAGCTTTGCAAACGTTGGCGTTGAGGCTGTAGTGCCAAACCTAATAACATAACACTGAAAGTAATCTGAAAGGATTATCACCATGTCAAGCCGTTCTTACAATGGCGGGGCGGGGGTGGGGGTTGAGCGATGTTGAAACAAAAAACGGGTTGTAAAAACAGGAGCTTAAATCAAAATTCCAGAGACTGAAGAAGAAATACCTTACTCAAGCTTTAAATATTTTCAGATGCTAGGGTGAGGGGACTTCAATTAAAGCTGGCATGCAATATTCATCATAATGGATCTCTTTTGTGCCATTCAGCAGTACAATTTCAACTAAATGCCTCTTTACAAATCAGCTCTGTACTATGTAAAATAATGGTAAATAGCAGTATACCTATGCACGCTGCCAATTTCCCAATAACTGAGCATTTTGAGGCCAGGCAAAGGGTTTTTTTTAATTGTTATTGTTTTCAAATCCTTTGAGACCCTAATTTAATACTGCAATTTCTATACAATTGTAATTTTATAATTATTTGATTTTTATTTGAACTGTTTTATTGTGTGTGGCGGGGGGGGGGGTAAACTGCCCTGGAGATTGGGTACAATATAAAAATAATTAGAAACAAGCACTTACGGGCTTATGCTGTATCTCAGGAGAAAAAGGGCATAGTTTCTACACAGCATACCTTAGAACCAACTAAAGTAACCCACAATAAAAACCACACATCATGATCTATTTAGTT